TGCACCAGTTCAACAAAACCCCAGTGATTTCCCATATTAATGCCATTTTGTCCCACAGGCTGGCCCGAGGTGACAAACACCAAGGGGAATGTCAGGACAGGAACATGCAGGTTCCCCGTGAACATTCCCATCCATCCCAAACAAATCCCACCCACCCATGGATGCCCTTCCAAGCACTTGGTGCAAAAGCCCTGCAGCAGTCAGGGGTCAGGGCTGGCTGTGGGGTCAGGGTTGGGTGTGGGGTCAGGGTTGGGCTGTGGGGTCTCTCAGGGATGGCTGTGGGGTCAGGAATGGGCTGTAGGGTCAGGGATGGCTGTGGGGTCAGGGTTGGGCTGTGGGGTCAGGGATGGCTGTGGGGTCAGGGTTGGCTGTGGGGTCAGTGCTGGCTGTAGGGTCAGGGTTGGCTGTGGGGTCAGGGATGGCTGTGGGGTCAGGGTTGGCTGTGGGGTCTATCAGGGATGGCTGTGGGGTCAGGGATGGGCTGTGGGGTCTCAGGGATGGCTGTGGGGTCTCTCAGGGATGGCTGTGGGGTCAGGGCTGGCTGAGGGGTCAGTCTGTCCAGGTTTGAGCTGTGGGATCAGGCTGCAGCAGCTGAGCTTTCTGCACCTGCATTTTGTTTATGGTCTAAATCGTGCCAGAAAAGCTCTCAGAGTCAGGAATGTGTCCAGCATGGGGCAAACCCCAGGGTGTCCCAGCCCTCCTGCTCCATCCTCTGCCATCCCAAAGGCCTCTCTCCACGAGATGTTCCTACAGCCCAGTTAAAGARGTGTTTGAGCAGCAGCAGCGCTCACAAACAGAGGCTCAGAGTGTCCTCAGACAGCCCAGAGGTGCTGAGAGCTCAGGGACCCGGGCTGGCTGTGCCTCACAGGCTGGGCCAAAATCCCATTTGATTTTGGGATTTTTGTCTGACATGTCACCAYGGAGCCCTGCCCCTTTCACAGGGGGATTTTTGAGTAAATCCACATTTCAACACTCCTTCAGCTCACCTCCCCATCCCAACAACAGCAGTGCAATATTTTAAACTGCTTTTGCAAGCCTCCTTTCCACAGGGCGGTTGAAAGGCTATAAAAGCATTTTACCAATTTCTGGATCATCTCGGGAGCTATTGTGGTGCGGGAGAAGGGGAGTTTTGTTGCTGTTTGCCCGTGGACAGCTGCCAAGCTCACCTGTGAGATCGCATCTCTCTGGAAACTCTGGATGGCTTCTCACTTTACTCATCTCAAAAACTCAGCTTAACCCTTTCTCAGCCTTTGCTCAAAGCAGGCAAATTCTGTTTAGGTTTAGGGAGAGCCAGAGCTGGATTTGGGAAAACCCAAAACCAGAAAAAAACCCTTCAGCCACATGAAAACCCCTCTAACCCTGCAAGTCATGCTGCTGGCTCAGGGCAAAGTGTCCCCAGCTTTTCTTTGGCCACTCCCTGATCACACCTCAGCAGCCTCCAAATCTGACCTTCCTCAAGAAGCTCCGATTCCACACGGGGCTTACCAATTTCCAGAGGTTTTCCCAGCCTGGTTCACGCTCACAGAGCATCTGAGGGCATCAAGGGGTGGCTGGAGATTGTGTATAAAATAAAAAATTGAGGATTAGGAGAGATCTGCCCCTGAGCACATCTTCTTAGGGGCCACTTCATGGGGCAGGGTCCTGCTCCTGATCTCAGAAATCACCACGAAAACCCATYGTGTGTCCAGGGCTGACACAGGGGAACTTTGCAGCTTTGTTTGCTGACGTTCAGGAAATATTTACTGAACCTCACGTGGAAGTTGTGACACAAGGGGAGGGTAATCCACTCCCTTTATGTACGAAATTCTCATTTTCCGCCCCTACACGTGAATATTTACACTCTCCACCCTCTTTTTCTCCTGCATAAAGTTATTCCCCGTCACATTCTTTCACTGAGTTGGCAAAATAGGGTGAAATTCAGCGGGTTTAAACRATCTGGAGTACGCAGGCGTAGCTTATCTAAGATCAGACGTGCAGATCGAAATCAACAAAGCCTCACAAAAGAAAGCCCCAAAAGTGCTTTCATCTGCCTGATCCCATTTCCCTGCCCACACCTCTCCTTACCCTATTGCAACGCATTAGTTCTGCTTTAGTTTCTGCTCGGCAGCAGCATTTCTGCTTAGGAAAGATTCTGTTGAGTCATTCCCAGCGTCGGCGGCCAAACAGGCTTTTCAAGAACGGAGGAGAAAATAAAGGCTGTGGTTTTTAAATTAATTCCATGCTGCTTTTAACCCTTAAAGCACTGGTGATTCCAGACTGAGCAGGATTTGGGGCTGATTTGGGGGCTTTTGGCAGCGATTGACTGCTCAGACAGCGCCAACCACGCACCTGCGAGGCAGAAATTGTACTGAAGGTCTCTGCTGTCCAACCCACGTCCTAAACACTCCATTCTGGCTTGGGAAGGCTGCCTCAGATAACCCAGACCCACCCCAAAACACAGGTGGGGAGAAGGGCTTTTTGAGCAGAAAATAGTGGTTGTCAAAGCRGGAATGGAGGAGAAAGCAGCACGTGTTTCCCTCTGTGAGATCCTCCACTCGTGCTCCCCAAGGAAGTGTTTGGGACAGAACAATCCTTGCCAAAAAGGTACAACTCGAGTAAACTCCTGGTACCTCGAGGGGCCCCAGGGGAGCCAACACTTGGAGTGAGAAAAGACAGAAKGGGCGAAAGCAGATCGGGTGGTTTTCCTTGCCTTGGTTCTAAAGCAGTCCCTGCTAAGCTTTCAGCCCAATGGCTGTTCCCAAAGTTATCTCTGCAGGGAGAAGGCTTCAGTCCTTCCCTCTGCCATTCTCTCTGCCTCCCTTTTTTTAATAAAAGCCCGGTTTAGATCTGATATCCCTCTGAAAGGTTTGCTATCAAAGTTTATTGGACCCACTGGGACAGATCACAGTTTGCAGAGGCTCAGAGTTTCACGGCAGATAACGGTAAAGTGAACTATTGAGTGTTCTTCAAAATGCTCATTTTCCTTGGGCTCATCTACAGCACAAAGCTGCACTGTGTTCCAGGATTGTTAGAAGAGATTCCAGCTGATTTCACCGTGCTGGCMATGAGCACAGACAGGCAGCCACCGGGGGATGCTGAGGCCACTCACAGCCATTTGTAGTGAAGGCAAACCCCACCAGCACGAGGGGATAATGCTCCTGTGTGCTATTTTTTCAACTTAGGAAAAAATACCAGGAAGCATGAGAGCAGCTTGACTTTAAAAATCCAGATTTGCCTTTCCCTGCTTAATGATAATGATAATAATAACAACAACCAGGAAAGACTCCTCTGCCCAGGAACTGCAGCTGAGAAATTTCAGCTAGAAAGGGAAGAAATGAGAGAAGGAATTAGCATGTCAAGCTTCCTACAAAATGGTTGTTCTTCTTCTTCTTTTTTTTTTTTTTTTTTTTTTTTTTTTTTTTTTTTTTTTTTTTTTTTTTTTTTTTTTTTTTAATGAAGTCACTGGTGTTATTATGTGGTTTTTAGTAGGCTATCTTCCTAAAAAGGCATGGGAATAAACAGCCTATCTGGTAGGATCTGTGACTGCAGGATCTGTATCACAGATCTGTTTACAGGGCTGTTTCATTTCCCCAGACAGTCATGGAAAGCGTGATGTCCTACAAGCCAGGGTGGTGAAGGCTGGGAGAGGTATGGGAACAAAACATTCCCAACAAACSGAGCAGCGAAGGAGAGTTTCAGGGCAGATGTTTGCAGGATGCATCATCATCATCCAGCCTGGGAAAAAGCTGAGAGACACAAGGGTTGGGTCGAGTCCTTGGCCAGCAATGTCCTGTCCTGGCTGRGAAGGGTGGGAAGCCTTTAATGCTCAGTGACTTTGTGATGTCACCTGGTCCAAAACAGCAGACTGGACAGCACCCAGGGAGCTGAACCTGGATTTCAGATGTCCCTGCCATCCTTTTGGTCCAGGAATGCATTTCACCAGCAGCATTTGCAGCTCACTGCTCTCTGTTCCTCCGCAGGTGATGCAGATGGACCAGAAGGTGGATTCCATCCTGAGCAGGCTGCAGGCTCAGCTGGAGGAGCAGCCCCGGGCACCAGGACCGGCCAYCCCTCGGGCCACCAGCCAGGACATGTGACAGCCAGGGGACAGCCTGGTGTCACCCTCCCCTCCTTTCACCCACTCTCGGTGTCTTCGGCTGCCTCGTGGGTCAAACAAAACATTCTCCGTAGATTAACGGAGGAAAAAAAAAAAATAAAAATAGAAGCAACAACAAGAAGTCGGTCACGACCTTAGGAGAACCCATAAGTTCTGCACCTGTTTGATTTTAGCTAAATTCTGCCAGCCCCACTTGGGCAGAGCTCGCAGGGGCTCTGGAGAGGGGAACATCCCAGCCCGGGTTGGGATGACCCATTTGTGGGCACGCAAGGGGAAAGGAACTGTTCTTTTGGCATTTCATCACTACATTTAATGCTCACAGCATGCCCGAAAGGGGGAAAGGAGCCAGCATTTGAACATGAAACAAATGGAAATCAGTGAACAGGAAAATTAAACAGCATGTTTTGACTTCTACCAAGCAGCGAGGATCATAAGAAGGGCAGATTTATGTGCTGGTGCGAATGACAAAGTAAAGACAACAGGCTACTGATTAAAAATATGGAAGTGTACACAGGCTGCTTGACATATGAAAGGCTGCAGCAAAGAGTTCAGCTAATTAAAGCGAGGGATTGCCAGTGAGATGAGATGAGATGCGTGTTGGAACAGACAGGCCAGGGGGTGATAGCATCAGCGTGGGCTCCCTGCGCCACAACTGCAGCTCTATCAGCCACGCTGGCTGTTATGCAAAGCGTTCTCAGGTTTTACCTTCCTTCAGCAGCGCTTTTTGACTCTAATTGCTCCATTTTAGCACAATAAACCTGAATTTATTCGGCTGTGAGCGACTTTCTTTCCAGACTTTCGACTTTCTTTCGGGGCTGGGTTGGAGCTGGGTGCTGCTGTGACCCAGAGTGGCAGAGCTTCTCCAAGAAAACAGAAACGCACACTGGCTGTTATGCAAAGCATTCTCAGGTTTTACCTTCCTTCAGCAACGCTTTTTGACTCCAATTGCTCCATTTTAACACAATAAACCCGAATTTATTCGGCTGTGAGCGACCTGCAGGGCTGGGTTGGAGATGGGTGCTGCTGTGACCCAGAGTGGCAGAGCTCCTCCAAGAAAACAGAAACGCGCACGCTGCTGCTGCTGGAAGTTAAGTGCTGTTTAAATAAACTGCTGTATAGAATTTGAAATGCTAGATTTATTTTTTTGCCTCATAATCCGGCTGTAAATCGAGTGCATGTGCTGGCTGGTGGGCTGGTGGTGGTGAGGAGCACATCTGGTGCAGGGAGCTGGGCTCGCAAACTGCAGAGGGAAATGCGGGCTGAGATGCAGGTT